TTAATCACTCTTTGGGTGAAGAAGTACTTCCTTTTATCCGTTCTGACCCGACCGCTCAGCAATTTCATGGAGTGCCCACAAGTTCTTGTATTGTGAGAAAGGGAGAAAAGTACCTCTTTCTTTACCTGCTCTTTCCCATGCATAATCTTATAAACCTCAATCATGTCACCCCTCAGTCGTCGTTTCTCCAAGCTAAAGAGCCCTAAGCGCTTTAACCTTTCCTCATAGGGAAAGTGTTCCAACCCTTTTATCATTCGAGTTGCCCTTTTCTGCACTTTTTCCAAAGCTATAATATCCTTTTTAAGGTGTGGTTGGTTTATACAGGGCCATTATGATATTGGCTGATCTGTTTTCAATACCCTTCCTAATAATCCCCAGCTACTTGTCCTCTCCGGCCAAAAGGTCTTCAGGCAGCACATCTAGGATGGATCTTCCTTTGCAAGAACCCTGGAGAGCTGCTGCCTCTCAGATCCGATAACGCTGGGCGAGAGGGAACAGTGGTCTGGTTCAGTGTAAGACGGCATCATCTGACATGATTTCCCACTTTTGCCTAAAACAAACATGAAGCCAAACTTCGGGGGAAAGCCTGAGGAATCTCTAGGGAAATGTCTCCAGTTTGGTGTAGTGGTTAGGAGCCGGGACTCTAAGCTGGGAGAACCGGGTTTGATTCCCCACTCCTCCACATGCTGCTGCTGATGTGACCTTGGGCAAGCCACAGTTTTCTCAGAGCTGTCCTTGAAAGGGCCGTCCTCAGAAGAGCTCTCTCAGCCCCGCCTACCTCGCGGGTGTGTCTGTTGTGGGGAGGGGAAGGGAAAGGAGTTTGTAAGCCGCTCTGAGACTCCGAGTGAAGGACGGGGTATAAATCCAATCTCTTCTTCTTCCTCTTCATGCCCATCAGGTCTTGGGAGAAGAGAGACATTTGGAAAATGGAAGAGGAGAGTTAATGAAACCCAGAATAGAAAGGGGTGGGGGAATATAGAAGAAGAAGAAGAAGAGATTGGATTTGCACCCCGCCCTTCATTACCCAAAGGAGTCTCAGAGCGGCTTACAATCTCCTTTCCCTTCTCCTCCCCACAACAGACACCCTGTGAGGAAGGCGGGGCTGAGAGAGCTCTTTCGAGGACTGCTCCTGAGAGAACAGCTCTGAGAGAACTTACGACTGACCCAAGGTCACACCAGCAGCTGCATGTGGAGGAGTGGGGGAATCAAACCCGGTTCTCCCAGATTAGAGTCCACGCTCCTAAGCACTAAACTTGCTAACAACACACATCCCAAAATATGGAAATCACCAGGGTCAATAGAAAATTCTGCAGTGTCTCAGATAGATTCTTCTCCTCTTGCGAGCCAGATTTGGTCGTTTTGTGTTCATTTGATCTGCTGGTGACGTCCTCCCCATTCCTCCTTCCCTCTCTCCTGTACAGCCACCTCTCTGCCATATAATTCCATTCCTTATCACATCTCTGGCGATGAGCCTCTTTTATTCTTTCTCTTCCAACACACACACACACACACACACACACAGAGTGCTTTTTCTTCAGAGACAGGGAAGGCGTCTTCGAAAGGAAGCCAAAAACATCGAGGCCCGGCGCGCCTGGCAGGAGAGAGGCTTTCTGAGGCAAAATGCTAGCAACTCATTATGTCATTAGCCAATTATTTCTTTAATTAACGCGAGGAAGCAAGGCTCCCAGCCGTGAGTCACCGGGTGATAAGGAAGATCCGCGGTTTGTTTTGTCATCTGGAGGGGAACCGATTTAGCGCCTGTTTTGCTTCAGAGGTTAGTCATGTTCATCTGCAGTGGAATAGATAGGTCCGAGTCCAGTCGCACCTTAGGGACGAAATCTATTTGGTTGTCAAAGGCTTTCACGGCCGGAGTTCATTAGCTGTTGTAGATTTTCATGGTTTCCTGTCCGGAAAAACACAAAAGGCTCTACATCTGACAATAGCACTACAGATAAGATTAGAATCCATGTGCAAAAGAACCTCCTCAGGAAACAGGAAACCTCCTCAGGAAACAATCCATATGCAAAAGAACCTCCTCAGGAAAGCTCCTCCATTAGCATGTTCACAGCCTGGGGAACTCCTACAAAATAATGACTCAACCTTACCCCACCTTCCTGAGTAGATATAAATTCCCTGCCTACCATTTTTCTTCTCATCTTGACACAGAGAGTCCTCCATCTTTCTGTGTTATACCTCTGAGGATGCCAGTCACAGCCACTGGCAAAACGTCAGGTCCTACAATGCCAAGACCATGGCCACACATCCCGGAAAATCTACAACAGCGAATAAATCTATTTTATTGGCCCAGAAGATTCGCAACAAAGTCTTGGCATTTGGACTTGCTTATGCCCTCAGTATTCCTTTGGCAGATTCGGATGCCATCTCCTATACCCCTTGTCAAGTAGTCCTAAGAAGGACTGTTTGATTGGTTGATGGATTCCATGTGTGTAGCCAGGAGATCCTAGGATTGTCTGGCAGCCAGAAGTTCTAGCTCTTTATCATTATCCAGGGCGCACCATGAGGAGGCGAGCTAGAATTGCACCCCATATAATATTACTATATACTTCCTGTGTGTAACTCTGCTACATGATAAATCAATAAGTAAATAAATTAGGGACTAAACAAGATTTGTGAGGTAGAAGCTTTTGAGAGTCAAAGCTTCTTTCGTCAGAACTATCTCAAACTGTTTGGATCAGTGTTTGGGATGGTTGGCCCAAGAAGAAACTTGTGCGTATATTACGGGAGCCAGAGAAACACGACCGGATGCGCTGTTTGGATCTACAGAATCCTCCGTGGCTTTGTCCCTGGCAGGCGGCCGCAGATCTAATTCACATGACTTTCTGCCAAATCAGTAGTTTTTCATTTGACTCCCTTCCATTAGGAAGCCGTTTCAAAGTGTTGTCTGAAGTCTGACCAAGGAATGTTGGCCTCGTGCTCATCTCAGCTATGCACATTCGAACCTGCACCACCTCCGCCAAGAGACAGAGTGAACTGGTCACCTCAAACAGCCTGTTTTGGGTATCTCTGAAGGGCAGCAAATTGTCAATTGTTTCATTTTTAGTTATAGGCAATGCTCCCTTTAAGCTGTGGAGTCCTGTGAGCAAAAATTCTACTTTGTGAGCTGCTGGCATTAAAGTTGTGAGCAAGCCATTTGGCTGCTGCATCAACGAGTTTGCTCTGGAGCCCTCCTTCCTGAGCTAAGACAAAAATGTGTGAACTGGAGGCTAAGAAACTGTGAGCTGGCTCACACTAACTCAGCTTAGAGAGCCGTGTTGCTCTGCAGAAGGAGTGTTAGATTCGAGGACAGTAGCACCTTAGAGACCAACAAGAGTTTCAGGGTATGAGCTTTCGCGAGTCAAAGTTTGATGAAGAGAGCTTTGAGTCTCGGAAGCTGATACCCTGAAACTCTTGCTGGCCGTTAATGTGCTCCTAGATATGGGGAGGGGCTGTGACTCAGTGAAACAGCCCCTGTTTGCCACGCGGAAGGTCCCAGGTTCAATTCCCAGCATTTCTACTTAATAGAAGAAGAGTTGGTTCTATACCCCACACTTCACTACCCGAGGGAGTCTCGGAGCGGCTTTCAATCTCCTGTGAAGTAGGTGGGGCTGCGAGAGCTCTGAGAGAGCTGTGACTGACCCAAGGTCACCCAGCTGGCTGCATGTGGTGGAGTGGGGAATCAAACCCGGTTCTTTAGATGAGAGTCCTGCCTCCCTTAACCACTACACGAAACTAGAACCAGGCAGTAGATAATGTGGAAGACCCTCTGCCTGAGACCCCGGACAGTCTGAATAGACGATACCAGAGCTAGATTCGGGGGGGATCGCGGGGGATCGCAGTTCCCCCGGGTGAGGTGCAGGGGGGCGGGGCACACGACGAAGCCCCGCCCCCTTCTTCCGCCCGCTCCCTGCTTCCAGCCTCATTCTGTTGCAGAAGGAGGAAGAAGCAGGAGGGTAAGTTGGCGTCCTCTCCCTCTGCCTGGCCGAGGCCACTCCACATGGCCTCCGCAAGGACTCCCAGCCCCATCCAGGAGCTTCCCCGAGGTAGCTGTGTTAGTCTGTTGCTGCAAAATAGTCCAAGAGTTCAAATAGCACCTTTAAGACTAACAAATAGCACCTTTAAGACTAACCTTTAAGACTAAGACTAACTGAGTGGTGGGTGTGGCCTTATGACACACTTCCAGTGATGAGGGGGTGTGGCCTTATGACACACTTCCGGTGATGTCAGGGGGTGTGGCATATGGTAATGAGTTATGCTAATGAGTTCCCCTAGCTCTTTTTCTACGAAACGACCCCTGGACGATACTGACCTCGATGGACTGATGGTCTGGTTCAGTATAAGGCAGCTTCATAAGTGTTCTATATCTGTCTGTCTATCTGTCTAGACAGGGAGCAATATAGAGCATTGATAAAAGAAATTATAACCTGTCTTGAGACAGTCTTGGGAAGAAATATAAGGTAAAGAAAAACCCTATATGAATGTATTTTTTCATATATGGAATTTGGAGGTAAAAAAATAGTGACTTCCTAGGAGTTATATTAATCTGTACACATAATTCATAGAACCATAGAATCACAGAGTTGGAAGGGACCTCCAGGGTCATCTAGTCCAGCCCCCTGCACAAGGCAGGAAATTCACAAATACCTCCCCCTCCACACCTCCATTGACCGCTGTTCCACACCCAGGAGATGGCAAAAAAACCCTCCAGGATCTCCAGCCAAACTGGCCTGGAGAAAAACTGCTTCCTGACCAGCGACGATCAGCATTTCCCTGAGCTGTGTAAGAAATTGCTAGATGAGGTTGTTGGTCTCCGTTTACACCCTTGTAATTTCCCTTTTTGACCCTGCAGCGACTCTGCCAAAGAGGTGGGAGCTCAGGAATTCACAGCACCAATCTTCCTTGATACTGTTTCAGAGACCGGCTTTAACATTTTGTCTCATTCTCTCCCCCCCCCCCCCCCCCCCGTAACCCTAACCTTAACCCGAACCCTAACCCCTCCACAGCTATCGACCTGCTGTACTGGCGCGACATCAAGCAGACGGGCATCGTCTTCGGGAGCGTCCTGCTGCTGCTCTTCTCCCTGACCCAGTTCAGCGTCGTCAGTGTGATCGCCTACCTGGCACTAGCGGCTCTCTCAGCCACCATTAGCTTCAGAATCTACAAGTCAGTCCTACAGGCTGTGCAGAAGACCGATGAAGGCCACCCATTCAAGTGAGTCCTTTGCCTTTTCCATTGGCGGGAACAAGAAATGTTTCCTTTCTTCGCAAGAATGGGGAGGTAAGGGAACACGTTGCCCAAGGAAGCTTCCCTTACTGCACCCTCCCACTGGGGTTGGGAAGTTAGTGGAGATTTGAGGGTGGAACCTGGGGAAGGTGAAGTTTGGGATGGGGAGGGGGTCGGGCAAGGATGTATGCCACAGAGTCTGCCTTTCGACGCTGCCATTTTCCTTGTGGGAACTGATCTCTGTACGCTGGAGCTCAGTTATAATTCCAGGAGAATACTAGGCCCTACTTGGAGGTGGAAGGCCAGATAATGAAACTGAAACTCAAAGACTTTGGCCACCAAGTGAGAAGGGAGCACTCACTGGAGAAGCCCCTGATGCTGGGAAAGATTGAAGGGCAAAGAAGATGGGGACGGCAAAGGATGAGATGGTTAGACAGTGTCATAGATGCAACGAACATGAAGTTGAGCAAACTTAAGAGGACGGCGGAAGACAGGAGGGCCTGGCGGGATCTGGTCCATGGGGTCGCGAAGAGTCGGACTCGACTGTGTGACTGAACAACAACAACAAAAAACTCTGCCTCCCACCTTCTCCACTTGTCAGTTCTAGGTATCTGGCCCTGACCTGAATAGCCTAGTCTCTTCAGATCTCAGAAGCTAAGTAGGGCCGACCCTGGCAAGTACTTAAATGGGAGACCTCCAAGGAATACCAGGGCCAGGACGCAGAGGCAGGCAACAGCAAGCCACCTCTCTGAACATCCCTTGTCTCCAAGGCCCACTAGGGGTCTCCAGGAGTCAACCATGACTTCCAGGCACGCACATGCAAATACAAAATAAATAAATAAATAAATAAAAATCCAGGTATCTGGAAAACAAATGACATCACTTCCTGCTGCGATATCTGGACCGTCTTCTCCCATGTCTTCCTGCCCAGAAACGAAGATCACAAGGAGAGGCCCTCTTGATCGTCCTATTGACCAAAGAAGCTTATCTGATGGGAACGCGAGAGGGGGCCTCTTTAGTGGCAGCTCCGCAGTTCTGGAACGACTTCCCCAGGGGGTTGTGCCTGGACCCCTCGCTTCTCAGCCTTTAGGAGGCAGCTGAAAACAGCTTGATTCATGATGGCTCTTGACTAGTCCTTCTGCCTACCGGCAGTTTTAGATGATTGATTTTAACTCACGGGGGTTTTTAAAATCTGTTTTATTGTATTCTGTTATTATTTACATTGTAAGCCGCCTCGAGTTCCTGTAAGGTAGAAAGGCAGCGAACAGATGTTTTAAATAAATAAAATAAACTAAGCGAGGGTTACCAGCCACTTAGTGGGAGCGGGGAAATCCCCCACTTTTGTAGGCTCTTGCCCACCGCCAGCCAGCTGGCCGGCGGGGGGGGGGGGAATCCCGTCCCCAACTGACCTTTTCGGGCCTACTTACAGTTTCAGGCCTCCTTTTGGTTGGGGGGGAAGCCTGGGTTTGAAGGTGAATTTACCATAGAGTTGTGCCCAGAACCAGAGTGTCACCCCAACCAGAAGTAGGCCTGAAACCGGAAGTAGGCCCAAAACCGGAAGTAGGCCTGAACGTGCCCAACATCACTTCCGGTCTCCCGCTGGCCAGGTAAGTCGACCCAGCAACCCTAAACTAAGCCACTAGGCAGCAAGGCAAAAACTGAGGCTTAGAAATCTGAGGTCAGAGAGAAAGCAAAAGGCCTCCCAGGAATATGAACGAAAACGGACAAGGCAACGGCTGGGGCATTGCCTGTGGCCACAAACGTCTCGATTAGGGTGGCCATCTGCAGATGTCTCCAAATGAAGACAGAAGAAAGGGGGAAATGGACTAAGTTTGTGTATGCCAATTTACATTCATTGAGCCTAATTTGCACTTAATTGCTGTCGTTTAATAGAAATGCAATCCCCCACAGCGCCAGCTCTGTCCGCTGTCCAGATGTTAACTGTGGGTAGGGAATTCTTCAACCCATCCCCCGTTTTACCTTTTTGGGTCTCATCATCGTGAATTTATCCCTCTTGGCCTAGCCGGTTTGCGCTGCCCTTCTCCCCACCGCAGGAGGATCTGGATCCACTGCTCAGAAATCCAGCCTCCGGAGCCAACTCTTTCCGGCGTTATTTATTTATTATTCATCAATTTGCTTCATTTATACCTAGGGTTGCCAAACCCCCTGGTTTGCCAGGGGTCCCCCGTTTTGGGGGGGGGGGTTCTACCCCCCCGCCAGTCAGATGGCCGGAGGGGGAAGCCCTGCCCCCAACACCCACCCCCCTCTCTCCCTTTAAGTGTGTGGAACCCGTGTTTCCTCCCAAGCCCGGAGTGCCAGCTTCGTGCTCTTAAAAGGGAAACGTGGCTGCTCTTAAAGGGGAAACGCCAGCTCCTGCATTTAAAAGGGAAACACCGGCTCCTTTAAGTGCAGGGAACTGCCGTTTCTGGAGATCCGAAGCGCAGGCGGGTGGGAGGGGCAGCGGACGTCCCCAATGTGATGTCATCACGTCAGGGATGCCCCATCCCCTCCAGGGAATGCCCCCAAAGTCCCCCACTGGGGGTGGAAGATGGACTTGGCAACCCTATTTATACCCCAGTCTTCCTCCCCAAGGGGAACCCAAAGTGGTTCACATCACCCCCCCATTTTGTCCTCACAACCACCCTGCGAGGTAGGCTAGTGTGAGAGAGTATGACTGGCCCCAGGTCACCCAGTGAACTTCCACAGCATGAGTCACACCAGGGCTCCCAAATCCTAGTTCGGCACTTGAACTACCTCACTGTGCTTTGTTTCTGTTGTGGGACAGAAGCCAAATCCAGACCTTTTGGAGCCAAAGTCATTGAATCATAGAATCATACAGCTGGAAGGGACCTACAGGGTCATCTATTCCAACCCCGGAGTTGTTTTCTGTTGCCCCAGAAGGTCGGACCAGAACCAGCAGGTTGAAATTAAATCAAAAGAGTTTTCGCCTTAACGTTAGGAAGAACTTCCTGACCATTAAAGAGCGTTTCCTCAGTAAAACAGGCTTCCTCAGGAGGTGGTGGGCTCTCCTTCTTTGGAGGTTTTCCAACAGAGGCTGGCCATCTGACAGCAGTGCTGATTCTGTGAACTGAGGCAGATCATGAGAGGGAGGGCAGGAAGGGTTGCCTCAATGCTTAGTTCTCGTGGCCCTTTCTGACACGCTCAGGGAAATGCCGATCACCACTTTGGGGTCAAGAAGCCCTTTTTCTCCAGGCCAGTTTGGCTGGAGATCCTGGAGGGTTTTTTGCCCTCTTCTGGGCATGGAACAGTGGTCACTGAGGGGTGTGGAGGGAGGAGGTTATTTGTGAATTTCCTACATTGTGCAGGGGGTGGACTAGATGACCCTGGAGGTCCCTTCCAACTCTATCATTCTATGATTCTCTGATATAATATGAAGCAAATCCTGACCAGAGAACTCACCTAGTGCTGGACCTGACCACAGCAATTAAATTCTTTTACTAGTAGAGTATTTAAAAAAAAAAAAACCTCCTGCCAACCTAGCAGTTCGAAAGCAAGAAATTGCAAGTAGATAAATAGGTACCCCTTTGGTGGGAAGGTAAAAGCATTCCGTGCGCCTTGGTGTTTAGTCACGCCGGCCACATGACCACGGAAACGTCTTCGGACAGCGCTGGCTCTTTGGCTTTGAAACGGAGATGAGCACCGCAACTCTAGAGTCAGATTTGACTGGCTTTTGAGCAAGGGAACCTTTACCTTTACCTATTTTTAAAAATGCAGCATTTTTTAAAATACAGAGATTAGCTGAGCAAGGTCCCAGATCAGGATTTAACCCATGGGGGGGGTTTTGATCCTGCCTTTTAAAATGTATACTGTTTTTAATATTTTGTTATAATTTTTATCCATTGGGTAAACTGACTTGCCTGCATGTGTTTGTGTACGTGTGTTTCTCAACAGGAACTACCTGGAGATGGAGGTGTCTCTCTCCCCGGAACAGATTCAGAAGTACACAGATTGCCTCCAGTTGTACGTCAACAGCACCGTCAAAGAGCTCAGGAGGCTTTTCCTCGTTCAGGATCTGGTGGATTCCTTAAAAGTACGTGGCCGGCAAGGAGCCAAAGGGGGTTTGGAAAGAGTCATTCCTGGACATACTACAAAAAGAAGAATCTCACAGTCTATTTGCTTTTGTGCCAATAGCTCCTTTGAGCCTTTGAAAACCTCCCTCTCTCTCTCAGTGGAATTCTAGGTTCTGCCAGTGGCCTGGATCCAAACCTTTTCTGCTTGTGTGATGGCATTTCTCCTCTCAATGTAGATCCTCACATTGTACCCCCTTGCTTTTTCCTGGGGACCCCTGACCCTGGGTGGCAGCGTTCCAAGGGATGTGGCAGACTACAGTGTGAGAGAGAAGAGAGACGGGACAATTCCATTCCTCTCATAGATTTCTGCTCAGGCTTTTTTGGATCCAAGCCAGCAGAACTGTGGAGCGGCACAACAGTTAGATTTGAGCTAGCAAAGAAGGAGCAGGTCTCTTTAAGCAGAGAATGATTTTACTGTAGCTGGCTAGAATCAGGACCGTGGACAGCTCCCAGTGGTTGCAGGAGTTGCTCAGTTCGATTCAAGTCCAGTTGCACCAATGCTCCCTCTAAGCTGTGGAGTCTTGTGAGCAAAAATTCTACTTTGTGAGCTACTGGCATTTCTGAGCCGGAGGCTAAGAAACTGTGAGCTGGCTCACACTAATTCAGCTTAGAATAAAGACTGAGTTGCACCTAGACCAACAAGATTTCCAGGGTATAAGCTTTCGTGCATCGAAGCTCTGTCAGATATGAGCAGGAATCGAAATCACCAAGTCCTTATAGCCCAGTAGGTTCCGTTGATCCCAGCAGAGCAGTAGATTCAAGACAGACAAAAAAATTTTTTTGCTTCGTCACACAATGCGTAGCCCAGCTCTGAAATTCACTGACAAAAGGTCAACTGATGGCCGGTACTTTAGATGGCTTCTTTAAAAGGATTGGACAAATTCATGTTAATGGCTTAATGGCTATGAGCCACGAGGGCTGAGCAAAGATAGTTTGTTCAAAGGTGCTGGACATGGTGGGCTGAGTCCTGTAACCGTGTTCATACTCACGTCATTCCGACTACAGTGCAGATCGCTTCCTTCACCACTAATACTTCTGTTTGTTAGTTTAGTATAGGTTGATCTGTTTTAGGAACAAGGGGGCCCCTTCCCCCCTGATTCAGACCGCTTCTTGGAATATTGCAAGGAATGGGATCACTCAGCCTTTAAACTGGGTTTGGGCATCAGGGATGAATGCACATTTGCTATTCATAGAGAAGAGGGGCAACCAGTGTTCCACCGCAGCTCCCCTATCTATACCTTGTGGCTAATAGCCACTGATGGACCTCTGCTCCGTATGCTTATCTAATTCCCTTTTGAAGGCATCCATGCTTGTAGCCGCCACCACTTCCTGTGGCAGTGAATTCCACGTGTTAATCACTCTTTGGGTGAAGAAGGACTTCCCTTTATCTGTTCTAACCCAACCGCTCAGCAATTTCATGGAGTGCCCACGAGTTCTTTCACTGTGAGAAAGGGGGGAAAGGACCTCTTTCTCTCCCTGCTCCATCCCATCCATAATCTTGTCAACCTCGATCGTGTCACCCCTCAGCCGTCGTTTCCCCAAGCGAAAGAGCCCCAAGTGCCTTAACTTTTCTTCACAGGGAAAGTGTCCCAACCAGTGTTCCCTCTAAGCTGAGTTAGTGTGAGCCAGCTCACAGTTTTTTAGCCTCCGGCTCACACATTTTTGTCTTGGCTCAGGAAGGATGGCTCCAGAGCAAACCAATTTATGCAGTAGCCAAATTGCTTGCTCACAACTTTAATGCCACAAAGCTCACAAAGTAGAATTTTTGCTCAAAAGACTCCACAGCTTAGAGGGAACATTGGGGGCAACCCTAGCCCACACCATCCCACAGCGCCCACCAACACTGTTCCCTGAACATACCAACAACCCAGTTCCAGGGGTGGGAGGAATGCCAAAACCTTGGGACGTATTGTGTACACACATTCTGGGTTTTGGTCAATGCGAACTAATTATTTATTGATTTTTAAGACAATGTCGAATTAAAAGTTGTCCACGGGAAAGGGCATCAGGATGCAGCAGTTAATTGGTTTGTTACGATATTACAGACCAGATTTTTTTTATACTCTTGAAACAAAGAACAGCTCGGCATTGAAATAAAGTATGTCCTTTGCCAAGAGAAGCTGAATTCTGCAGCCTATAAAAAAAAATCACACGGATTAGTGTATCTTTGTTTAATTTGCCTAGTTTATTCTGGTTCTGCTAGGCATGGGAAGATGTGAAAATTATGCTGGGCTCTGAAGCTTTGTTGCCAAATATCTGGAAATCTTTCCCATTTATCTTATATGTCCAAAGCTTAAGGACTAGAAACTTATTAGGAAGGAAGGAAGGAAGGAAGGAAGGAAGGAAGGAAGGAAGGAAGGAAGGAAGGAAGGAAGGAAGGAAGGAAGGAAGGAAGGAAGGAAGGAAGGAAGGAAGGAAGGAAGGAAGGAAGGAAGGAAGGAAGGAAGGAAGGAAGGAAGGAAGGAAGGAAGGAAGGAAGGAAGGAAGGAAGGAAGGAAGGAAGGAAGATGTCAAGCTGCTAAATTGGGCATTGACCCCAAATTCTGAGCTTCTGTAGCTGTGGCTGAGAACCCATAGAGGTCACAAAAGTCCATACACAAATTGGTTAGAAGGGGCCAGCAACGATCATAACATATTGATTTACAGGCTTAGTCAAATTAAGCTGGTCGGGTAATCAACAACACTCTGGTGTGAAAAAAACTAAGTCTCCTGGAGTCATTTACCGTTCTGCGGACAGCCCACAGTGCTCGTGGGAGACGTAATAATTGTATCTTAATTTAGTTTGCAGTGCTAATGTGGCTGTTGACTTACGTCGGAGCGCTCTTCAATGGCCTGACTCTTCTGATAATGGGTAATGTGCATTGTTTGTTTTACGATCTCCTGTTTCAGTTTAAGTAGCGGTATCCGTTAGGGCAGAATAGCATCGTCGGCCCCACCGGGATTGTTTCCCCCTTGCCTCCCCTAGCAAGCGGCTACATATTGTTGATGTAACACGGTGGTTAGATGCGGACGGGATTTCCTGCTAATGGAAATCCTCACCTTGCTGCAGACCCCTGGTTCCCCTCTCTCGCTGTTCCTCAGTGTCTCCGGAGGTGGGGTAGCTACCGGGGCCCAGGAATTTTGGCGTGGCCCACTGCCACTACCCCTACCCACACCTCTCTCCTGCCACCTGTCTGCACCCGTGCTTCCAACAGCCCAGAATCATTGAGGAAGGGCACGTCGGGGGTGCAGAGCAGGACTGTAGCTACGTTGGGGGCTTTGGGGGGCTCCGCCCCCTTTCTCAACGGCACAGCCCCGCAAGAATTTCTCCTGTAAATGCCCTTTTCAATCATTTAAAAACAATTTTTAAAAGGTGTGGGCCCCTTTAAGCAGAGTGGGGTGCAGAGTGGGGTGAGAGCCAGTTTGGTGTAGTGGTTAGGAGCGCGGACTCTGATCAGGGAGAACCGGGTCGGATTCCCCACTCCTCCTCATGCAGCTGCTGGTGTGACCTTGGGTCAGTCACAAGTTCTCTCAGAGCTGTTCTCTCAGGAGCAGTTCTCGAATGAGCTCTCTCAGCCCCACCCACCTCACAGGGTGTCTGTTGTGGGGAGGGGAGGGGAAGGGAAAGGAGTTTGTAAGTCGCTCTGAGACACCTTCAGGTAGTGAAGGGCGGGGTATAAATCCAATCTCTTCTTCTTCTTTCATGAGCAGGTCTCAAAAGGGCTCTCTCTCAGCCCCACCTACCTCACAGGGTGTCTGTTGTGGGGAGGGGAAGGGAAAGGGGATTGTAACCTGCTCTGAGACTCCTTCGGGTAGTGAAGGGCGGGGTATCAATCCAATCTCTTCTCCTTCTCCTTGTGTAGTTGACTGATTCCCGCACTGAGCAAGGCGGTTGGAGTAGGTGACCTCTGGGGTCCCTTCTAAGTCTGTGTCAAGAAACTGGCCTCCTTGAAGAAAGTTTTTTTGCCTCAGTGTTCGCTTTCTTGACTATAAAAGTCATCACCTCCCACCTGCCGGCTCGTTCTTAGAACGGTTGCTTCGGCTGGCAGAGGCGATTGACTTGCAGCAGCTGAGAACTGTCCTCCAAAGTGCTTGACAGCTTGCAGTTTAGAGATCTATCCTGGTAACGGCTTTCTATTGTGCAGGCAAGGCGGGATATAAATCGAAATTAATAAATAAATAATAAACGCATGAATGGCTTTTCTCCCTGTACTGAGAACTTCAGCCCCACCAGGAAGAAAATTGCCCCACAAGCCACAAAACCCTGGCCACGGGCCCGGTGCAGAGTGGTGGCATTC